AACCGATCATTAAGAAATAACAACTAACAAAATTAGAAATTTTATTTATATAAAGAAGACTTTCAAATTGACCCCACAATTATCGAAAATTTTAATCCAGTGCGCGAATAATTTACGCGATCGTCGCGTCGTTGAGAAATTAAAAATTTCGCGAAAGCATTAAGAGATCTTTTTCCTACCGAAATGCGCACCATTCAAATTACGTACGTTCACACCAAAATCGGAGTGTAAAACCCTTGAATTTAATGAAGCAAAAAGAAGCGATTACTTGAGTCGGAGTGCTTTGCTGTGAACTATAACGAGAGAAGGGTAAAAGCGGCTATGTTGAATTGATGTATGAAAAACTGTTTCACATGTGAATTATTCTGCAAGTTCGGACAATTTGCGCCAAAAATTTAGGGAACTCTGTAACGGCTTACGTGAAATTGAAAATGGAAGCGACAGAAGCTGTTTACAAGGAAATCGCAAGTAAAACAAGTGACGTAGATCACTTCAAAAAGGCTTTGTAGTAGTAATATATGGCAGATTCTAAATCTCACTAGACGAAAATCCCTAGAAAAGTCACTAGAATTGAGTGGGTCTGAACTGCGGTAGCGAGGTTTGCGCCTGTGCTAACGTCAAGGGGTCGAGGTTTGCGCTCCAGATAAAGTATCGGAGGTTTGCGCCTGTGCTAACGTCAAGGTCAAGGGGTCGAGGTTTGCGCTCCAGATAAATTATCGGAGGTTTGCGCCTGTGCTAACGTCAAGGTCAAGGGGGTAGAGGTTTGCGCTCCAGATAAATTATCGGAGGTTTGCGTCTGTGCTAACGTCAAGGTCAAGGGGGTCGAGGTTTGCGCCTGAGGGATCTTGTCGATGGTAGTGTACGGCCGATTCTAAATCACACTATATTCTAAATATGACTGGTGGTGGGGATTGGCGCTTATATAAGCCTCTATATGGTCGTTACAAGGTATACATGTATTAAAGATGTCGTGGATGGCATATGCTGAGCAATCATGGACCAAATCTGTCGATTTCGTGACGGCCGTGAGACGCCTTAAGCAGCATTTTTCTGCATTAACATTTGATGCAGAGCACGAGGCGATATATGGACGCGGTGAATACAGCCCAGAGGAGTGCCAAGCTATTGCAGCCAAGTATGAGTTAGGAGAGGCAATATGTGACAGTTACTTAAGCTATAAAATATGTGACGAGTGCATTATCCGGAAACTAAGGGATGCAAAGTTGGAGCAGTTTAGTGAACAGTTGCAAGCGTGGAAGGATGAATCTTCAGAATCCGGTGAAGAGTGTTAAATTCAATGAATTCAATAATAGAGCATATGTAATGGTGACGTGGCATTTTGCTTATTGGGCAGCAAGGAAAGGTCCATGGGAAACTGTAGCAGTCGATAGAGTTCGATTCCGACGTAGAATCGAGCAATATCATGCAATAATTTCTCCAGTATTACAAGCGGATCATCGTTCGGCAGTGTATCGCGGTAGATTTCAAGGTCACGAGTTGGAAATATAAGGGTGAGAGGTAGCGATGGTTTCAATCAGTCCAGTGGTGTTATTGAAACAGTTAAAATGGATCTTAACGCACTAAACAACAGTACATTCTGTAAAGTATTCAAAAATGTCAAGGACTTGGAAGTGGGGGAGAAGTTTAGAATTGTGAATGCCGACACCATGAATACAAAATATGGTGATCGAATAGTATTGGAAACTGAAAATTTTAAATGTGTGCTGCCATTACGATTCTATGAATACTTCAAGGAAGGCGATCGCCTGAACGTCCTCAAAGAGTCCTTGAAGACTAGCGATGTATTCATCGAAAGCGCCGGAACAGCGGGAAAAACTACCAATTTAAAATTTATGTAAACAATAGATTAGTGTTGTTGTTGTTGTTGTTGTTGTTGTGGTAAAATAAAACATAATATTATAGATAATTGTCTTTTCATTTCAAAATAAAATGAATGTCCCATGAAAAAAATACTTCAGTTGTGGAGTGATCGTCGTCGTGTACTTCGCTCTCTCATGAATACACTAAAGAAACTATCATCCATGGCGACGAAAAATAGCTGTAATAGTAACTATTTCACGTGCTCGTGTTGGTGTTGTAATGATAATGGATATGGATCAACGCCACCATCATCTCCTCAAGTTGAAAATATGCATAGCAAAGCGATTGAGGAACGTTTAATAGATTGTACCTCTTACGCCCTCTTCGACAGCTTAGATAATTCCAAATACATTGAAATCGGCTACAGTACACACCTTAACCTTGAACCAATCCTTCGCATCGCATGCGGCAGTGTTATGCTCATGAAAAGGGAAGATTGGGTGACACTTTTAAAATGGCAAACATATCTCGAAATGAAGTTTTTCCGATCACAAGAGATCGAAAGATGGATAGATTGGTCGAATGTGAACGAAGAGAAAGATGTCGAACGAGATCAAAGTTCGGATACACTTAATAGTAATATCACCATCTACTATACGTGGGAGTCAGTGAAGGGGGCTACTGAAAAAATGTTGAAGAGTGTAAGAATACAATGTGGCAACAGCAGCTCTCAATATTGCACGATGGAAAAGAACGATATTGAAGAACTGTTTAATTTGAAAGATATAATCAACTATCGATTTGATTTACTGGAATCATACGCTCTGTCCTGTTTCTATCAAGATTTTATCGAACAGGTGATTAGCTACCGTCACTTTCGTAAAATGGAGTTTGGTGACGAGGAGGAAGAGGACGATGACGACTTCATCTATCGCGATATTGAAGATGTGCTAAACTATAAGAATAATGTAAATTCTCACAATACAGTGTGCATGATGGAAATACTACACTATAGACCTACTTATTTAATGTATCATATATATCAACCTCCTCAATAAACGGTTACTGCAGTTGAGCATTTTCATTGTGCCTAGATTTCCCTATAAATATGCCACCGCATTGTATAATGCCAATAATGTTGAATCGGAAGCGGAAGTGTGCGGATGGGAGGGGCTTGGTTAATACTCTCATAAACAAACTTCCAGTTGAACTACATCTTCCCGGATATCAATACTGCGGTCCTGGTACTAAACTAGACAAAAGACTAAAGCGAGGTGATCCCGGCATAAACCCACTAGACGCTCAGTGCAAAGAGCACGATATTAGCTATAGGGATAACCAAGACTTGGAAGGTCGACATCGAGCAGATCGAGTTCTAGAGCGGAAAGCTTGGGAACGGTTAAAAGCTTCTAACGCCAAGTTAGGGGAACGAGCAGCGGCTCTTACAGTGGGCGCCATCATGAAGGTAAAACGAAAGTTGGGGATGGGAGTGAAGAAAAAGAAGAAGAAGAGTAGTTTATTGAACTTGCGCAGGACGATTGCTAAGAAAATGAGGAAAAGCGGCAATACCACGGATATGATAAAGTCAGCTGTTACCGCAGCAAATATGGCCATAAAAAGTTTAGGTGGTAGAAAAAATGTAAGCGTACCTAGAGTTATTCCCATACCAAAACAGGGTGGGTTTTTACCATTTTTGATACCCCTTTTCGCCGGTTTATCGGCAGTGGGAGCTTTAGCCGGCGGCGCGGCAGGCATTGCTAAAGCAGTTAATGCATCTCGTGACGCACGTAAAATGCAAGATGAAACTTCACGCCATAATCGCACGATGGAATCGATCGCTATAGGAAATAAAAGTGGCGGTGCGCTGTATTTGAAACCTTACAAATCGGGAGGCAGTTTGGCGTTGCATTTAAAAAAAAAAAAACTTCAAAAAATTGCCAAAGCGGCCGTTAACAGATGTAGATCTACGTAAGCACGCAAAAGGGTGTGTACCATACTTTAGGGACGTGTTTATGCGAGATAATATGCCTATATCGCCATGGAAAAATGAATCCGGGGTTATTAATTTAGATAGTCAAAGGGGGCGTGGCACTCATTGGGTCTCGTACAAAAAACGTAGTAGACGAGTTTGGTACTATGATAGTTTCGGTAATATTCCACCACCACGAGAAGTGATCGAGTATTTCCGCGACTGTAAAATCTATTATAATTATGGACAAGAGCAACAATTTGGTACAACGAATTGCGGCCATCTGTGCTTAAAATTTCTGTATAAATAACACGAACACTGACTAAGCGAGCAGTAGCGGTAATCATGTCGACGACGTTCAGCATAGAGGGCGTTGGAAATACGGCGAGTCACGATTTCTATCCACCCATTGAACTTCCTTCGGGGAAAATGTACGTTATCGGGATGGTGGGGTTTTATGGCTGTAACAGCATAAGAAACATTCACGAGGGAAACGATAAGTTTTACTATAAAACTGATTCAAATAGCTCAATAGACTCCAAGGCAATAATAACAATTAATAATAACAATTCCGCATGGTGCTTACGAGTGGAAGCGAGTATATAAAAGCTCACATTCCTACAAGTCGCTTTAGTCTACGTGCAAATAACAATACGCTCAAGTGCGAACTTAATTGCGAATTTGATATAGATTTCACTCCAAGAGACTGCATAGGGCGCATGCTCGGTTTTGAATCGAGGATATTGGAAGCGAACGTTCTACATACATCTGCTTTAGATATTCAAATCATTAAGCACACTAACATTCACATAGAGTGCAATCTCATTACGGGATCCTATCGAAACGGAAATCGCGCTAAGGTCCTTTACGAAATAGACGTTTCCGTTCCACCAGGTTACCGCTTAGATAAAATTCCTAGTAATACTCAATATCTGGAAGTAAATACCAGTAGAATTAGCAATATAACTATAAATTTGACTAATCAAAAGGGTGAACCGATCGATTTCGGGGAAAGTGAACCGTTTACAGTACGATTAGAGTTAAAAGAATATGGGGTTACGTATTAATCAAGGTCCATTGCCATCCTTCCTCGACGCTATAAATAAACGAGATAACCGGAAATCGAGTTATTCTCAATCGAGACAGAGCCCGAGCACATTAACGCTAGTAGAAAAATCTTTCTTGGAATCCATTGGCCTGAAAGTGCAAAATGGCGGCGGCAGCAGACTCGTTAAACGTCTTTCAAAGCGTACACTTTGACGAAACGATTGTTAAATCCGATATTCACACCTATCTTCCATACGGAGGATCTTCGGATTACGGACTTTCCAGTGAAATACGAATATTAATTCAAAATCAAGAGCTGATAAGCGCCACCTACGACAGTTTTTTGTACTTGGAAGGAAAAATTGAATGGAGTCAACCGGAAGGAGAGGGCGCCATCGTAAAGACATGCAACCTAACAAACAATTTCGCGCCATTCCTTTTCGAAGAAATCCGCTATGAGTTGGGTGGTCAGAAAGTGGATGTATGCAGGAATCCTGGTATTACATCCTCACTGAAGGGATACGTATCGTATACGTCTACTGAAAGCAAAGGTCTTAAACATTTGGGGTGGTCACCCACCGATGAATCCCTTCAAGTAGATTTCAATAAGAGCAACAAGGAGAAGCATTTCGCTGTTTGCATTCCGCTAAAACACATATTCGGATGCATGGAGGACTATCGACAGGTTATCGTAAACATGCGACAAGAATTGGTATTAATTCGTGCTAGAAGCGATGCCAATTGCTACATCGGTACCGCCGACGATGCAACAATAACATTAACAAAAATTCAATGGAAAGTTCCTCACGTGACCGTTAGCGATAGCGCCAAAATTAGCCTATACGAACGCATCAATAAAGATGCTATAATCACAATGCCATTTCGTCAATGGGAACTGTACGAATTGCCCGCTTTAAAACAGGCACAGTCGGATATATGGCCAATCAAAACTTCAACTCAACTAGAGAAACCACGATGGATAATTGTGGCATTTCAACGAAGCGGTAAAAAGTTTTCACACGAAGCAAGAGCCGCCAATTTCGATAACATCAATATTCGAAATTTAAAACTGCATCTCAACTCGAAAAGTTATCCGTACGAAGCGATGCATTTAGATTTTAATGCCAACAAATACATCATTGCATATCAAAACTATTTAAACTTTCGGCGCGATTATTACTCGAAAGATGAGCATCAAGACGCCCTCTTTGACTATTTGTATTTTAAAAGTTGCCCCATCTTTGTGCTGGACTGTTCAAAGCAAAACGAATCTCTGAAGCATTCGACGGTAGATGTTAAGTTGGAAATGGAGTCGATGGAGGCCTTCGAGGCGGGAACGGTTGCCTATTGTCTGATCCTGCACGACGCACTAATTCAATACAATCCTCTGACCGGGGAAGTGAAGAAACTATAATTTGTATTTATTTAATGTATAAATAAAATGTAATGATAAAAAATGTTCGTAGTCTTATTTCAACCGCGACCCCAAAATGAAGGTAGTGATGCAGAAGCAAAAGCTGCTCGTTCAAAATCTCGACATGACGCCAAATGTGGACCACAAAAAAACCCATGGCGTATTACTTCCAAACAGCGTAAGATGCGTCATTTGTGGGCCGTCCAATTGTGGTAAAACGAATACGATGCTCAGTCTGCTAACTGAACCTAATGGCCTACGCTTCAAACACGTGTACGTCTATTCCAAATCGCTGAATCAGGACAAATACAGGGTTTTGGGGGAAATTTTGCAACCAATGAAGGACATTGGCTTCTTCACATTCAGCAAGAACGCTGACATTATGGAGCCCAGTGCTGCCAAACCTAATTCAGTTTTTATCTTTGACGATATCGCTTGTGAAAAGCAGGATAACATTAGAGCGTACTTTTCAATGGGCAGGCATAACGCCATCGATTGTTTCTACTTGGGTCAGACGTATTCTAAAATTCCTAAACAATTGATTAGAGATAATGCTAATTTAATTGTCCTATTCGAACAGGACGACTTGAATTTGCGACATATTTATGAAGATCACGTCGCACCCATAATAACCATGCAGCTGTTTCGAGAGATGTGTTCGGAAAGCTGGCGAAACCCGTATGGGTTTATGGTGATAAATAAGGATGCCGATGTGCAAAACGGTCGTTTCAGGAAAGGCTTCGATCACTATATAATACCGTGAAAACATGTTTATTGTTCAGTTCAACTGTAACGGCTTTAACAGCTTTAACAGCTCTAACAGCTCTAACAGCTTACAGTTTTAACAGCTGAACAGCTTTAACATCTGAACAGCTTTACGAACAGCTGAACAGCTTTAACGAACATCTGAACGGCTTTACGAACAGCTGAACAGCTTTAACGAACAGCTGAACAGCTTTAACAGCTGAACAGCTTAACAGCTTTATTGGGGAACAGACCCTGTTCCAGTTGATCTGTTCATTTCATATCGGTTTACCTGTTCCGTTGATCATGGATAATAAGGAGATGGCCTTGAAACGAAGAATAGTTCAGGCGCGTAAAGCGATACAGCAAAAGTACAATCGTCTCAAAGCGGATCGTTTTATTAAAGAAGTGGAATTTGTACGAACGTATAAACCGCTAATTCAACCGCTAGCTCAGATCGTAAAGAAAATCGAACCGCCATCATCGGTTATAGAAACGAAAAAGGAGGAGCCATCAGAGGACGAAGTATTTACATCACCCCCTAAAAAACGTCAATCTCCTGTAAAAAGAAAGTCACCACAACAACGTACGACTCCTGCGATACCTTATTACTCGCGAATGAGACGAAGGCCCTCTTCCCTTACCGAGATCAGTCCGCTGGCTAGACTTCCCTACTTTCAAAAATATCCGCCAACTGATATTAGTCCTATGGTTAGACCTTTTCACCCCACGGCTACTCCATCATTGAGACAGCCGCCATCATTTCTACAGAGTACAGTGATAGGAGAGCATCAACTGGAGGAAGAAGAAGACGAGTCCTCTATTGCATCAGAATCATCTGCTTCATTACTTGATATGCAAGGTTCGCAAGCCTTTTTGGAACAATACAAACACCTACCACGTATATACGTTGAGCGCATGATAAGAGATACGAGTAATGCAATTGACAGCACCTTTGGAATTCATTATAATGTCGAAACGGATAAGTGGCGAATGGGCAAGACGGAGGTGACGATAGATGACGAAGATTTGGTCATTAACGGGGTCCGGTACAAAGGTACTGCAGGGCTATACGAACTTATCATCATGAATGAACCGGACGAATCGCTAGTATCCAAGCAGGATAGAAGTAACTATAAGCAGATAATAATAGCAACTCATGTCGCACGGCGCAATTACGACCCCACCGAACAGATTCGTGGCAATAAAAGCAAAAAGTATACGCTCATAATAAAGCCTCTACTGAAGGAGGAGGAAGCGGCGAATAGGGGGCGTGCGAAATCGGGAAGCGGCATTACTCTATTCAAGGAACTCGACCGACCGATCGAATACAAATACTGGAATAGCGTGCATGAATTGATTAGGGAGTTAGAGGTTTTATGGGGTGAAAAAATGGCAGGCAACACTGGTGTAAAAAATGATATAATATCAATTATGGAAGAGTTATATGAAGAGGGCTACATACAAAAGCCTACGCAGCGATTTTTACGTCAACTAGTATAAATACCCCATTTCCGCCTTCTTTCTTACATTCATCATGGATAAATTCGGACGTTCACATACCCATGCTCAATTTGGAAAGCTGTTGAAAACAACTTTTTCCATTACCGACGATACTATAAACGTGGAAAACAAGAGATTAAGTAATGTTGCCGATCCTATTGAACGTCAGGATGCCCTAACCTTACACCACTATCTAGCTACAAGACTAAATCTAAACGAAAACCGGCTGACCAATGTGGCTGATCCATTAGATGATAGCGATGCTATAAATAAAGGCTACTTAAGGTTTTATATACAAATCGTTAAAGCATCTTTAGACGGTCTTCGCAATTTTGTGGAACATTTAGAGAAAGATTTGAACGCTGTCAAAGAAAGCTTGAGTAGATTAATAGAGAATGCAGCAAGTGGTAAATGAGTTACACAAAGCGGCACGTAAGAATTTCACACGTAGACGTACTGTTATTAAGGGTTTCGATGATCTTTGGCAGGCAGATTTAGCTGAATTTATACCTTACGCTAAAAATAATAAAGGCTACAAATACATATTGGTAGTTATTGACTGTTTTTCTAAATATCTGTGGACGAGAGTATTGAAGAATAAAACAGGCGAAGAGGTGACAAAAGCCATGCAAAGTATATTAAGAACTACCGGACGCAGACCGAAAAATTTACAAACCGATGCAGGAAAGGAATTCTATAACAAATCATTTGATAAGGTGATGACACAGCAACATATTAATCACTACTCTACGCACAGTATTAAAAAGGCTGCAATGGCCGAAAGAGTTATTAGAACTATCAAGGGTCAACTTTACAAAAATTTTAGCCTACGTGGAAAGTATGTATGGATCGATGTAATTGAATCAATCACAAGCGACTATAATAAGCGTAAACATCGAACGACTGGGATGAAACCGGTTGAAGTGAAGGCCAACACACATTTAACTGCCTATAACCACATAAAGCTGTTCAATAGGAAATGTCGGTTTAATGTTGGCGATGTAGTTCGAATCAGCAAATTCAAGAGTCATTTTTCTAAGGGCTACACACCTAATTGGTCTAGTGAACTTTTTAAAATAGTGAAAATACGAATAACAAACCCAGTAACATATCTGTTAGAAGACATGAAAGGAAAACCGATCCTAGGTGGATTTTATGAACAAGAATTGCAGAAAGCCAAGCATTCAGATGTATATTTGATAGAAAAGGTATTGCGGCGTAAGAAAAACAAAGTATACGTCAAATGGTGGGGAATGGATGAAAAATCGTGGATTAATCAAGAAGACATAATTTTATAAGCTTTAGTTTTTTTAATTTGTAATATATATATATATATTGTGAATAAAACTCAGTAAATCCATACATGTTTTTATTTTATTTTTTTGTCTACCATACAAAGGTTTTGATTGGATTCGGTTTTGAATTTTTACTCCACATTCTGTTAAGTACCAATAAACTCTTTTTATAGTCACTTAGTTGCGTCGAGGGCCAAAATGCGTTGTCCGGTCCACAAGTCCACCCTAGGGACGCATTTGGATCTGCGTCTCCTTTACGGATATTTTCCAGCACCCAGTCGTACACTGCTTTATGTCGAGTGCATGCGAGCGGCCTGAATGAGTATTGTATGTTTCGCTCGGTACATATTTCCCACAAAATTTCTAGGGCCTTACAATTAGCATATTCTATACTAATACATATTGCATCATCCATTATATACAAAAGATCCTTATAGTTATTTAAAATACTATCTACATTGAATTGAGAAAGTCTAGCTAAATCATAAATATACATTTTAAGTCCTAAAGGTAATTCAGAAGTCAGTCTATCGATCTGATCACTAGTAACACAGCCACTTATATTTAGGATTCGACATTTATTTACAAAATGTTTAATGGTATAGTCAATTTCTTCCTTCTTATCAACTAGTAGTTTAATTTTATTCGAGCACACATTTGGTGATTTTGCGCACCAGTTGAAGCACTCGTCCGGTATCACAATTTTTTGCAGAGTCTGATTAATCACCTCATAATTTTCAGTGGACCAGACGTCCATAAGGGCTCTTTTTAAATGTTTTTTGTAAATGTGATGAGAAGCAAGAAATACTTCTTGCTCCAATTGGATTGTTTTATCCGAACGAATGCTGCAACTGATGCTCATAATCTGCAAAAAGAAATTAAATGAAAAGATGTTTCGATGCTGTGGAATATGAAAATTAAGTTGAATGGTATCCCCAAGGGCGAGTGTTGATGCAGTCTAAACTTATGACACGTTTGTCATCATAAGGGCTCAAAACTACCTTATCCTGCTTGATCGTAAATACGCAATGCTTTTGTGATTTAATAAGATGCTGATTCCTTTTTACAATCGATTCATTAAACAAGCAATCTTTATAATCTTCTAACGTTACTTCCCTAATGCTAGCCGCTGTGGAACCCTTAGACTTTTTAACTATTTGATCATCTACTTGGTATACATACATTTTTGCTCGGAGTCCTACAAACTCTAGCATTATTCGTCCATTGTTTTCGTCCTTCATCAGGCCTGGAATTTTTTTATTAACGGGTGGTATTGCAAATATGTTATTCGGATTATAGGCGGAGGTGTCAAATCTATCAAGATTCTCCTTTATCGAATGATAGATATCGGGAACCGCAAACGAGTAAATGAGGCTATCGGTATCAGTATATAACAGCTTCGCACAATTTTTGAATTTCGGTAAAACAAAATCATAATGGAACTCGTAAAGGAAAGTC